GTACTTTCATCCATTCGGACAGCATGACCTAGCCAGCGTAGCCGCTGTCCCTTCATTCGCTGGACTATGTCTATATCATTGTATAGCTCGTAAAGTTCATCGTTCCATTATCTGCGGTATTCGCCGCTGCCAATGCGCAAAGGATCATAACTCCTAGAGCAGATTCATCAGATATTGATATCGTACACGCTTCTGCACCCTATAGTAGGACGGGTATGATGAGCGACTTGTAGAGTTTGGTTTACGTTCGCCGGGAGAGAACTTTACTTTACAATTGCCTGCTTAGTCCAAAGTATAGCTGACATTGTTGTTGGTGTTAATACTGGTTCCAACGAGAAAGACGAAGTTATCTACGACTTCAAAGTCAAGTACTGGCATGCATGCGTTGCCCAAATTGCATTTAAAGCTCAAAATCGAAGATTGGATGGGAAAAGGTAGGTAAGAGTGCAGCTTAATCGAGCTCAATCAGCGCTACATTTTAATGCAATAAGTTTTGTAGGTCCTTTATATTCTTGTTCTTATACATTCCAAGTGTTCGATATCTAGTTTGTGATAGAGCATGGTATTCACAGGGGAAGTGGAAAAGTGATTAGCCACTCTTTTCTATTTAATAGCTGCACCAAATAGTGTTAAGGGACAAAGCTATTTTTAGTTCGAGTTTTCCAAATGGGAAAAGAAACCTAAAACTGCTTTTGAAAGACTGTTCATGACTAGCACCAACAAATTTTCGAAAACTTTTGGTAAGCATTCTTCGGTGTACCATTTCGCAGTTACCGTCTGAACCCTTTTCCAGTGGAAGAGCAGCTACGATTTTAGATCGGGCGAAGTAAACTGACATCATTACTTTTACAGCTGATTTTTGTTCCTTAGATTTTACTGGTAGGTTTGCTTCTTTGGGCTCCATACAATGGACTGGTGTTTGGTTTCTGGATCATATTAGAGAACCAAGATTCGTCACCAGTAACGACTTTACTAGAGTTGCTAGACTGACCTTTTTCGAATTTGCTTAGGAAAAATAGAGCAAAATGTACTCGAGCCTCTTTTTAGGCCTCATTTCGAACTCGTGGCGCCCTTCGAGCAGATTTCTTCGTGCTTTCCCAGATGATTACTTAATATTCGAGATACAGCCATTGCATTCAAGTCTAATTCAAGCGCAATAATTTTTTTGTGTCAATCGTGGGTCTACGTCAATTTTGGACTTCACCAGAGCTACAATGGCGTCATCAGTGGAAGATTTTGGTTGACCCTGTCAGGGCTCGTCCTCTACGAAAAAATGTTCGGTCAGGGATCTTCGATACCACTTAGAAATTATTTTTCAAGACGATACAATCGTTTCATATGCAATTCGTTTGCATTCACTGAATGTTTCTATTGGCTGTAAATTACGCCGAAACCCGTAGAAAATCACATGGTGAATTTCTGTTTGCGTTGATGGTGGAATATCGTCTGATCTATCCTCAGCTATCGTGTGTTTTTTTGTATACATGTTAGTCGGTCGTTCTGAAATTTGAAAAGAAGACTAATGAAGTAATTGCAAAGGATTTGCTATTTTTAGATTTGGCAGAAACAAATTGAAAGTCACCAATTGATCGAACTTTTGTTAATCCCCTCGTATACCAATTTTTATTAATATCTAGAAAATTAGTCAACAAAACAAAATGCGAAAATTCGGTGAAGTTCAAGGTGTAATCACAGCAACGCACTCACACACAGACAATTTCAATCAAACGAAATAAGCGAAAAAGAAAACAAAAACAACATGTGGAATACATATGAATGTGTATACATATATATATATATATATGTTTAACATTTAAGCTTGACAGAGTATGGAATGATGAATGTAAGCTCGGATCGTGGATAAATATGTATATGACATAATAATATACATATATACATATGTATGTAAGTATGCACTGTGATCGGTGTGAAAAAACTTGTGGAAGAACAACAATAGTTTTGCCATCATTTATTTGTTTTCAATAAATTTTTATAATTTTTTTTTTTTACTATGCGATGGCATGATGCGATTGTGCGTGTGGGAGCGTAAAAGAATTGATGAGTGAGAATAGACAAACGGCAAATAAAGGCATGCGTACGTGCATACCTACATACGCGTATATGTATGTATGTATGTATGTACCTCCATTTGAAATTCTGTGCAACTTGAATAAATAGCACTTCAGCTGCGGAGGAGGAGAAAAACAAAATTATAAAAAAAACAGTAAAAAACGAACGAAGAAGTGCGTGAGACCAAGAAAAAGCTTGCAAATAGAGACGGTTGCGTGGCTAGGCGAAAAACTATCGGTTGGATGAAGCACACATAATGATGCTTTATCGTCGTATACAAACATACAAATCTATGTACATACATATGTAGATAAGCAAACGAAAAAAAAATAAAGCTTAAAAGCTGGTGCAAGACAAAGCTTTTGATCTTATTATCGGTTAAATTGAGCTTTTTTTGAATTTTCCTAAAGCTTTTACAATAAACTTTCAAAAATATGTTGCTAACGTAAACTGAAGAATTTTTTAAGTTCTTTATTTTTATGAATTATTTTAAATTTTTAGATTAATTATGGAATTTTTCTTCTGCGATGATTCAATTATAGACTATTTAATAACAGGCTAATGTAGGAACCAATGTGGAAATCTGGTAACCGATTTCCAAAGCATACTTGGTGCAGAACGTATACTTTTCCAACCTGCTGAATGGCTGTAAAAATACACGTTTCTTTCTGCCATCCTCTTCAAAGTAGTCCCCTTGGACAGTTATACAATGATTCCAGTGTATTTTCCATGCTTCGTAACAATTCTGGAACGCTTTGAATGGGATGTCCCTCGTCACGGCAACATGGATGTCCTCTATCGACTCAAAATGGGTTCTTTTAACCACCGATTTTGTTCTAGGGAACAAAAGCAAGTCACAGGTTGACATATCGGACGAATAAGGCAACACGGCGATGCCTTCAGAGGGCGCTAAGGGCGGCGTGGCACGGTACGTTGTCGCGCACAACTTTCACCTCCCAAAATCGTCGGTTAAAACTTTTCTGACTGTTTCACGGTTCATACCCAGTTCCGACACCAACATTCGAACTGTTAAACGTCGATCTTCACGGATTACATTTACAATTTTAGCGTACTTTCCGAAACTGTTGCATCCAATTTGTCGCGACGCGTTGCTTTTGATTGCGTTTATCCACTTTCGAGACGAGCACCACGAACACACGTTTACTCAACACAACACAGCAGGCGAACTGATCAATCTAGAGTGAAGGCAAATATGTCAATGAAGAAGAGAAGGATGCCGGGAGAATGGAAATTGAATTTCAAGGTCGCAGGGTTACCACACTCGCGGCAATATAATCAGTTTTACTACTTTGTTGTCATACCTCTTATATAAGGTCAAATCGAGTCTATTGTGGGTAAGACTAAAGTCTACCGTCAACAAAGTGATGAGACCTTATCAGTGTGGTTTCAAACCTGGTAAATCTAACATTGCCCAAATATTCACCATACGCCAAGTCTTGGAAAAGAACTGCGTAAGAGAAGAATCACCCTTTGATCTCTTCTGAAGCTGTCTTCACAGCACAACAAGGAATTTACACTTAGTCTGATATTTTGTGCCCGTAAAACTCATACGGCTGTGTAAGCTGACGGTAGACAACACCAGAAGCGCAGTCAAAATTGGGAAGGACCTCTGTGAGCCGTTCGATACCAAACGAGGTTTCGGACCGAGTGACTCTTTGTCGTGTGATTTCTTCAATTTGATACTGGAGAGAATAATAAGAGCTGCAGAGCTGAATAGAGAAGATACTATCTTTTATAAGAGTGTACTACTACTGGCGTACGCCGATGATATTGGCTTTATCGCCCTCAACAACCGCGTCGGTAGTTCTGCTTACTCAAGACTTAATAAAGAAGCGGAGCGAATGGGTCTGGTAGCGGACGAGGACAAGGCAAAATATCTCCTGTCAACAAACAAACAGCCATCGCACTCGCAACTTGGCTCCCACGTCGCTGACAAAGATAAAGATCAGGTAGAGCTCTGATGGGTAATCCTGGATTTCACATTGACCAATATATAATGTCTTCTCGCCGGCACTTCGGAAAGAGTTGTCATTGCGATGGGTATAAACAAGGTTTCGTACTTATCGGGTGATGATAAAACCTTCATAGCTCGGGAGCTAGTTTTTGACTGTGACATTTTTGTGTTCCTTCCACTGTTAGCTTGTCGCAACCCAATGCGGTACCAGCCAGGGTATAGATAAATGATCCTGAAATGCTAGCCCTTTATCATATAGAAGGCAATGAAAAGACGGGTTGCCGGAGCTGCCTCCATTGACCGCCCCAGATTGTTCAGTGCCTTCAAATATTGCCCCAACCAGTAGAACGTGCTGGAACACTTAAGGCTCAGAACACTACCACCATAGTACGTATTACCAAACCATTTTGAGGCAGTAGGGATTGCAGACAGATCAAACTGTTACTTACCCTAAGCAATAGACATCTTAGTATTCTTATGGATGTATTGGCGGAGCTATCATTTCCACAAGCTAGGTAGAATGGACTCGGCTGAGCGCAGAGCATGCACGGGAGTTGACGAAATGTTGGAAAACTACAATTGTGATTGTCCGGCTTTCAGCCAATTGAGACATCGTATCTTTCACCATGCGTCTGGGTCCAGCCTTACGGAGGTTCGAACACATGGTTGGAAGATATTAAATAAGTCACAAAAGTATAATTGGGATAAACGGGGGAGAATGATAAATACACTCAATGGCTACGATGCGGACGATTGCGATCAGGAGAGGAGAGGGGAGCAGAGAAACTTAATCTTCGCAGGTACCCAGCTCATTTTTTCGGCAAGAAAAAAACAATGAAACTAAAGCCGTTCCACTGTAAAAAAAAAAATAAAAAAACAAAATCCAAGCTCAGATTTTCATCTCATGTCCCTTCAAATAAAAGTCAAGAATGAAGTTGTAACTATTTTATTTTGATATACAGAAGTCAAAGCGCTGAGGAATTTATTTTATAAACTGTAAATAAATTTAAAAAAATCTTCAATTTTGCAAAAACAAACTGTACGGAAGATGAAGAGCTTAAGAGCCCGTCACATCAGTCGACTGCTGCGCTGCTTCAGCACAACCACGAGGGTAAGAGAAAGATTCTATAGATACCAATAGCAGGAAACGTCCTAACCATAACTCCAACTCTCCACTCAGTATAACTACAAGGTGACTGTGGTGGGTGGTTGTGGCGGCATTGGACAGCCGTTATCGCTACTGTTGAAACGAAACACCAAGGTTAAGACACTCGCCATTTACGACGTCGCTAGGACACCCGGTATTTACACCGATCTCTCGCATATCGACACCAGCGTAGTGGTGGAGGGTTATCAATGCGCGGAGAATTTACCAGCCGCCTTGGAGAGTGAGTGAGAGAAAAACTTGTAGTTTTTTTTTTTTTTGACTAATTCTCAAAATCTTTCATGTTTTTTACAACGGAATTTCGTAATCCAACAGAGGCTGACATTGTGTTGCTCGTCGGTGGCGCTGCACGTAAACCGGACATGACGCGTGATGATCTCTTCAAGTTGAATGTGAATGTTGTGGAAGAGGTGGTCACCACTATAGCTGATAAATGTCCAAAAGCTTTGGTGGGCATAATAACGAATCCTGTAAATTCCTGCGTGCCTGTGGCGGCGGAAATTCTGAAAGAGGTTTGTGCCCTCCGGAAATTTAACACTTTTATGTTATAAAGTTAAACTCTCTGTCTTGCAGAAGAATGTATTCGATCCAAAACGTCTTTTTGGCGTCACAACACTTGATTTGGTGCGCGCACGCACATTTATCGGTGAAATACTCGATATGGATCCGGGCAAAGTTAGTATACCCGTTATAGGTGGTCACTCGGGGGAGACCATCCTTCCCATACTCTCGCAATGTAAGCCACCATTGAAATTGGACAAAGAGAGAGCAACAAAATTAATCAAACGCATACAGGACGCCGGTACGGAAGTAGTTAAAGCCAAATGCTTGGATGGTGGCACTTCCGCTACGCTTTCCATGGCTCATGCTGCGTACCTTTTCACAGATGCTCTTCTTCGAGGGCTGCAAGGTGATTGTAAGCCGGTGAAATGCGCTTATGTTGCTTCGGATGTATCGGATTGTGCCTTCTTCTCAACCCCCTTGCAGTTGGGCAAGAATGGCGTTGAAAAGAATTTGGGTTTGCCAAAGATGAATAAAGACGAGGAGGAGATGTATTGCAAGGCGGTGGAAAAGTTGAAAAAGCACATCAAATCGGGCGTAGATTATTTTAAAAATAAATCTAAGTGTGATAAGAAGGTCAAAGAGGAAAAGAAAGACAAAGATAAGAAATGTTAAAGAAGTACTAAATGGAATGGTTTAGATAATTATGTAGTTCTACTGTGTACCTCCGTTACTACTCTTTTCTGAAGATCTTCAAATATGTCGATGCGTACGGGTACATAAATATACGATCCTTTCTTTTAAATTTACGGTGTAATGTAAGGAAATTAATAGTAGACTCACAACCCCATAGGTTAAGTGTTGAAGTAACTTTGGGAAAGCAACTTTCAACAATCCCAATGAGAATACTGGCAGAGGGAGTAGATGATCTTGAATTTAAACCTTTGCGTCTTGCCAGTGTGAAAAAAAAAATCCAACTGTGGTCGAACTTGGCTAGGAATGTCAAGTTCTTCAAGTATATTTCAAAGTTATTCAGAAAAAAATTATCTTTGTACAACCTAGCGTCGGAGAACCTCAACTTTTCACCACCTTTTCTCTCTCCACCACACCTGAAATACAAATATAGAACGGCCGAAAGCTGACTCCTCGCCTCCTCCTCAATAACAAGTTATGCTTGACCAATTACCACGTCATAACTTAGACGTCTTTCAGATCTTGTCTTTATTTCTCTAGATCTGTTGGTGTTAAAACAAGTTGCTGTGTGCCCCTATTCATATAATTGTAATATAATATGGACCATATGCATCTAACCGTTTTTGAAGAAGCCTCGAAGAATAGTGATTGGCTTTCTTGACGCCGTTAATTAGCAGAAAACTGATCATTGTGTTGACGGACTCTCTGTGCATATCGTTAAAGACTTAGCGGAAAAACGTCGTGCTCAGCGGTTCTGTGACGTGCTGCTTAATATGGCCCGTATACCTTAGTACTTTCTTCCGGATGTGTTTGGAAAATAGTTGTACTTCAATTAGAGCTATCACACATAAAGCGTGGAAATGATAAGCGGAGTAGAATTTGGTCTTCGTTCGCCAAATGAGGAGTTTCTTAAATAGTGACGATTTACTCTCTCGGAGCTTCTCGAAAGATACATTTTAATCTCAAGCAAGCTGGCAAAGTATTGTAGCTATGCTACGCACAGCCCCAAAAAGGTAGGAATGGTTTCGACGACCCAGTAAAAATAATTGAGAGGTATGCATGCGGCTGATTCGAAGCTTGTTGGGAGACTTAGTAGTGGTGTTTTTTTAAATGACTCACTACCCAAACAGCACAGCTTCTTTGAGACCTGTTATGGAGGCGGTAGATTATAACGAAGCGTAATGCGCGGACAAAGATATTTTTATTTTCACAACAACAGTCAAGCAGCGGTTAAAATACTTGGCTTACTTCCAACAAATTTAAACTTTCGTCGATCTCTACAAAAAAAGGCCAATCAAAACCGATCCCTTATGAATCCCGTATGGCAAACGAGCTAGCTTAGCCGGGCATGACGAAGCAGATTCTTACCGATACAGAACGCATTGGTATGTACCTTGGTGCTTCCAAGCTGCTACTTCAAGAACGAGCAATCCGCATTTGAATGGAATGCTAGAAATATACATCAATATGGGATGGGAAAAAGGTCATCCGAAATGCGTTCTCATCGAAGGGAGGGCTAACAGATCATTGCCTGAAACGGCGACACACAAATAGGTTGGGAGTTCCTTTTAGAAGATGCTGTTGAGGCTGCTGGAACGATGAGTAGTTTCTTACTTATTCTTCACACTATCTCTGTTGTACTAAAAAAGATATGGAAATCTTATTGTACTAATGCTTTGTTATTATTATTAAATAAAAAAATAAATAAAAAAATCTTTTATGCCACTGCTCCCGTTTCGATATATTGAAGCTGCCCTTCCTCTACATCGAGTTTGTTTCGACATGGTGTTTTCAAGAAGAACTAAAACGCCTATTATTTAAGGTTATGGCATGTATAAGAATTTATTTCAAAGGGAGAGAGAGTTTTCCATTATATATTAAAAATAATTTTCTAAAAAAAAAATCCCTGCTATTATTCTTGGGTCTGTACTGTTCATCTTTGACTGTAACATTCATTCATTTTTGAAAAAATTCCTCGTCCTATATGAGTAGAGCACAGCAAACAGTGTAACGGTATATCGACTATTGACTTGTGGATTATCATCACTCCAAGTGCGTCAAAATTGTTTATAATCGTTTTCTTGTGAAAAGAAGGATCAGTGGCTATCTCGTTTCGGGCCCATTCACCGAATGTGCGTTGTGCTTGATGACCGTTCGACTTCAATTCTTGCATGAGTTGGATTTTTTATGCCCGCAATCCAAGATCCTTCCAAAAAGTATTTCAATCAGATTGTTTGTTTCATTGAATATTGTTTGAAAAAAAAAGTGGAGAGGAAAAGTGAAAAAGTAATTAAATAATCAAAAGACTCCGAGAAGTAACGAAAACATTTTCGAAAAATTATTTATTAAAATCTCTTTTTTTTTCGATTAGACTGAGAGCTCCATATGAGTTAATCTCAAACCACGCGTCGCACGTCGTCAGCGCTGCAAAATTTAAACTCGTTGAAAGGATATGAGGGAACTTCAAGGATACACTTTCACTGCATAATAAGCAAAAGTTTATATACGTACATTTATACAGTTATGTAATAACAAAATCCACAGCGTTTCAAAAGAGTGTTGCAAAACACATCCATCTTCTCGCCACGTCCACCCATATCAACATACATAAGCACAATCCCACTCATATATGCATGCACACATATATACATACACACACTGTAGCGTATATCCTTGCAACGCAGTTTCCATGTAAGAATCTCTCCATTTATCTGCGGAGTAGTGATGTCCTAGTTTGCTGATTGTGTCCCATTTATATTTAGGTTACTTGTGCTATAGGTGTGTATGTATAGATGAAGGTATGTATGTATAAAAGGTTACACTTTTGCACTTGTTTGTTAACTTCATTTTTGTTGCTGCTGCTCCTGCTGCTGCCGGTTTTTGTGCTCCACAATTTGGTTGTACGGATTTGTAGGTTAGTCTTAGGTATTTTTCTTTTTGTTTTTGTTTTTTTTTTGTTTGTTTTTCGTTTATATATTATTTTAGGTTTTATTCGTCTATCCTTTTCTCAGTTTGCCTTTTTAATGCTTTTCTATAATATATTTTTTGGTGCACAAAGTTATGTAAGCTTAAACTTGTTCCCCCTCACTTCCGCCCACATACTCTCTGCTGTTTATGTTTTTATTTGTGAAAGCATTAAAAATAGATTTGTGTCAGTGTGGATGTGTATGTGTGTGTGTGTGTGGATAATTTTTTTGTTACTAACTCATATAAAATTCATTACTGGTATTCACTTAGTTTTGGAGTGATTGCGATATAATAAGCGAATGGACATAAAAATATTGTAAAGGAGGAGATGGAGAGAGGGAGAGAATTTTTGAGGTAAAGTTTAAAATAAAATTAAAAAATTTTGAATTATTGTATATACAGTGGCTCAATAAAGAACTCGGACATACATTCCGCTGTTATTAACATGCAACTTCAAGCTAGATTTTTTTTTTAACCAATTGATATTAAGCATTTTTGTGTTTGTTTTTTATGTTTCTATAGGGTATCCAATAAGGATTTAAAAAATACCGATAACAAACGAATTGAATAGTTTGTAGGTCTCCTATACCCATACTTCTAAAAATTAACATGTGGCATGCAAAAAATTTCGCCAAAAAGGAAGTCGGACAGCTGGTAATATTACAGTTACTTGGCATTTTAAAAACGGGAATCCCACAATTAGTTTGCTTTCGTTTAAAAATACATATGTACAATATATAAAGTTGTCAAATATCTCCCTTCCGCTTTTTTTTCTTTTGAATTTCGCGGCTATGTACAAAGCGCTACAGAGCTCGTATCTGGCAACACTACACATAATTTGAAAGGTCTTGACATAACCTACAAAACAACGCTATGTATGATTAGTTTGGATATTGCGTTCAACAGTTATGGACGTGTAAACATGGAGTTCACTAACGCCGAAATTCGCGCTATTTTAAAGTTTTCCTTCGTTAAAAGCAAATCCGCTAGAGAAACGTTCCGTGAGATTAATGGTGTTTTGGGGGATGGTACTCTATCACTTCGAATCGCGGAGAAATGGTTTCGACGATTCAGAGCCGGTGAAAACGACATCATGGATAAGCCAGCCGGCGGAAGACCTGTGACGACAAATACCGATCAAATCATGGAATACATCGAGTTAGACCGGCATATGGCATCTCGTGACATCGCCCAGGAGATGGGAGTTAGTCACCATTTTGAGCCATCTGCAGAAGGCTGGATACAAAAAAAGTTTGATGTTTGGGTGCCGCATAATTTGACGCAAAAAAACCTTCTGGACCGAATCAACGCCTGCGATATGCTGCTGAAACGGAACGAACTCAACCTAATATCAAGCGAAAACGGTCGTGGTCGAAGGCCGGTGAATCGTCCCAAACAGTGGCCAAGCCGGGATTGACGGCCAGGAAGGTTTTGCTGTGTGTTTGGTGGGATTGGAAGGGAATCATCCACTATGAGCTGCTACCATATGGCCAGACGCTTAATTCTACCATCTACTGCTTGAAGCATGCGATCGACCAGAAGCGTCCAGAATTGGCCAACAGGAAGGGTGTAGTGTTCCACCAGGACAACGCCAGATCACACACTTCGTTGATGACTCGTCAGAAGCTACGGGAGCTCGGGTGGGAGGTTTCATCGCATCCACCATATAGCCCGGACGTAGCGCCAAGTGATTACCACCTGTTCTTGTCCATGGCGAATGCCTTTGGTGGTGTGAAGTTGAACTCAAAAGAGGCTTGTGAAAAGTGGCTGTCCGAATTCTTCGCAAATAAGGAGGGGGGCTTCTACGAGGAAGGTTTTATGAAGTTGCCGTCTAGATGGAAACAGATCATCGAACAAAACGGCGCATATTTTAACTAAATCCGATCACTGTAACACTTTTTATAAAGCATTGAATGAAGAGCAAAAAAGCGGAAGGGATATTTGACAACCTTATATAATCAAACGTAATAGCTTAAAATAAAATTTCAGTAGTTTTTTTTTGGGAAAAAAGGTGAAAAGTTCAAACATGGGTAGACAGCGTGGACAACGCTCAATTGAAGTAAGGAAGTTAATTATTAGTGATTTTGAAATAGCAAAAACCATTCGGGAAATCGCAGAAATTATGATCAGACTCCGCTCGACTGT